TTCGGCCACTAATTGGCCTCGTCACCTTGCCTTTCCCTTTTCTGGGCCTCAGTTTCCTCATCTGTAAAATGGGAGGGTGAGGCTAAGACAGAGAGGGTGGGATCTCTAAGGTCCCTTGTAGCCTTAAGTTCTGTGTTCCGAAAGTCCCTTTAAAGTGGGACTAAAATCATGATGGAGGCTTAGTTAAGGTCCCTTCTTACCCCGACCGCTCTTTTCCCGGAGCCTCACTTTCCCTATCTGTGAAGCAGGAGGCTCGGTGCCTCACAGACGAACGTCCCTTCCGGGCCCCTGGCTTTGGGGACTGGGTGGGGCCTGGGCCCCCACCTTCCCGTCACCAGCTCTCCTGTTCCAGGGCTGCTGCTGGGGCCCCGGGCCCTGGGCCTCCTGCTGCTGGCCTCGATCCACCGGGCCTCGGCCTGTCCCCCTCGCTGTCGCTGTGCTGGCGACCTGGTGGACTGCGGGCACCAGCACCTGACGGCGGCCAGCCTGCCCAGGGCCTTCCCTCCGAGCACCACCGAGGTCATCCTTCAGGCCAACAACCTCAGCAGCCTGCCCACGGGCCTCTTTGATGGGTTGCCCCTCCTGCGCCTGGTGCACCTGGGGGCTAACCCCTGGCACTGTGACTGCCGCCTCTTCTACCTGTGGGCCTGGCTGGGGGCACAGCAGAACCGCAGGGCCTACCGTGACCTGCGCTGCTCCGGGCCCCCCCAGCTCCGGGGCCGCCTCCTGCTCTACCTGGGCCCCGAAGAGCTGCAGGCCACCTGCAGGGTGGCGGGCTGCAGCCGGGAGCTGGGGGCCCAGCTAGCCCTGCTCTGCCTGCTCTTGTTCCAAGCCCTGCTGCTGCTTCTGCTGCTGCTCCGCCTGCGGCGCTACCGGGCGCTGACCCACGAGGCGAGGCTCACCACCCAGGATCTGCTGCTGCAGACCACGCCGCCGGCAGACTAGACCCCCTGAACCGAGCCGGCTGAGCCGGGGCCGGCGTCTGCTCGCCTGATGCCCCTGCCTGGCCTGGCCGGCCCTACCCTGCCTGGGGCCGATGCCACGGCCCGGGACCGTGCCCCTCGACCCACCTAATGCCCCTGCCCTGCCCTGCCTGGGACCGATGCCACGGCCTGGGTCTGTGCCCCTTGACCCGCCTAATGCCCCTGCCCTGCCCTGCCTGGGGCCAATGCCATGGCCCGGGACCGCGCCCCTTGACCCGCCTAATGCCCCTGCCCTGCCCTGCCTGGGGCCGATGCCACGGCCCGG